TGGCCGCCTTGGCCAAAGCTTCCTGGAGGCTTCTGCGGGGAAGCCATTCTGAGGGGTTTAGGGTTTAGGGGTCTTAGGGTTTAGGGTTTGGGGCTTAGGCTTGTGGGTCTTAATTAGGGTTTAGGGTTTGGGGCTTAGGCTTGTGGGTCTTAGGGTTTTAGGGTTAAGGGACAGTTCTTGCGTCTTGTCAGAGCCTCACTTCAATGTTCTGGGATTGTGGCCGCTACCCAGCTCGGAAGTGGTTGGCGTTCAATCTCAAGAGGGCACAAACATCCTTCCGATTATGTCTTCTATACTTTATCGGAAACCCTCCAACCGAAGCAGCCCATGCTTTTCTGGAATACAAGTCTGACATCCATAGGCTGCGGTGTTGCTTGCGATTGGTGTTCAGCTGATTTGCACTGGATGTCAGGTGGACGAGGTCATATGTAAAAAGTCTGTACACAAAATGGGAGACGAGGCATACGCAAGGGTCGTTGGGTTTTCTTTCGTTCACAACCCCTGTTGCAGTTCGAGGTCAACGCGGCCTGTGCAAATGAACAGTTCGTTGGGACGATGGTTCTCTCGGGTGAGAACTTCAGTTTCTGTTGCCCTGGCGCACCACGGCCGCAAATTCGGCATGCCGAGTTCAAGAGGGTTCAGGGCCTACTGTAGGGCTTATAGGGCAGGAAGTCGGAGCCACAGATGAACCTAGCCTTTTTCTCCCAACATATGTTTTCCTGTGTCCTAAACACGGAGACTGGAGAGACTGCTCCAGCAAAAGCAAGGAAACCTCGAACCCATTCTCTGCTTTGGGCTTGGGCTACTTCGGCCTCATGCCGGTGACTGGCCAGAACTTCGGGTTTACGTTCGTAGGGTTTGGGGCTTAGAGTGGTTAAGGGGATCTGTAGGGTGTAGGGAAGTTTGGTTGGTGAAGCCGTCCCTCTTGTTTCTTTCGAAGGTTCCTTGTTTTTTGTCGTTTACAGATCGAACTGCCCAAGACAGTATACCTTTCCGCAGAATAAGGCCCGTCTTCCCCGCCCCAGCTTCGCGAATCGAGGAAAACGGCCACTACGGCGAGCCGGCGGTGACATGCAACGCCACCGGTTGCAGCTATCGACCAAGCTGTGCGTGCCCGTTGTCCGTGCCGCATCGGCAGAGCAGACAAACCCTGGAGTTCGGGGTGTACTCACTGTAGTTCCTTTTTGGGGTTCATATTTAAATCCTATAAGGTAATCCCAAAAAAAGGAGCTACTATGCGGCCTATGGGTAGTCCTGAGGGGGGGCTAAGTGAGAACTTTGTTAAGCGGAGTGCTCGCCACACTTGTAGACTCGACAACCTGTAGGGATCCATCTTTCTCCTCTTTAACTTGCAAGGGGGTTTAGGGTTTAGGGTTTAGGGTTTAGGGTGGGTATTCGTTGGCATTGCGAGATTGCGAGGTCCCATCCTTGAACATTCGGGTGACCGGCCCCTCCACCTCCTTGGGTGTGGTGTTCGTCCCGGCGGTGTCTGCTTACGACGAAGCACAAGGGCTCAGCTACGGCAGCGAAAGGATTGTTGTGGCTCCGGACCTGGATGCGGCCTCCACGCCGCTGGCTTCAAATGCTTTCTGTATTGAGCGAATGCTGTTGCATGAGGCTTATATTTCAATACTATCTCTTTAACTATGCGCGTTTGTCATTGATAGCTACTCCTCACGGGTTCGCGTGACCAGCCGCATGCGATAGCTAGGAGACCCCGAACAACAGAGGCTTCGGATCTACGCCGTTGCGGTTGGTGCAGATGACAGCTTCCATGTGGGGAACAACGTGAGCCTCAACTCTCCCGGCATCCAAGATTTCATCAACAACTGTGGCCTTCCATGCGAAAGGCGCCATGAGTGCCCGGCCATCACGCTGCCGTACTACCCGGGGTTTGGTGGGCCAAAGGAGATCAACCCTAGCGGCCAGTGGGATGTGAAGCAGCCTCCGCCCAGCATCTTCGATGACCGGCGCATTCTCATTGCCCCCAGGCTCAGGAACAGCAGCTTGAAAATGGGACCCGTGTTCATCGGAAACCCAGGGAAGACCTATGTGGGGACGAATCCGGACCTTCGGGGCATCTTCCATGGAGTGGAGGGTCGGAAGACCACGGGTCCAGGAAGCTCACCTGGGGGCACCACGAGTGTCGGCACGGAGTGGCTGAAAGCTTTCTTCCAATGCAAGGAAAGCCTGGCTACCGGCACCGAATACGACCCTCGCATTTGGTATTGAAATATCCTGAACACGGCGCGCGCCGAAAGGTTTGAAGAGTTCTTGCGAGCTAGCCGATGATTGCCAGCAGCAGTTTGCATGGATGCATGTGATTCAGGCTGGCCTTTTTAAAATTGTCCTGGTCATCAAATGATGAGTTCTCTACTCAGGTTCCTGCAAAGTTAGCAGTGCTTCTCTGCGCCATCATGCCGGAGCAAGCTGTGGCTTCAAGAGGGAGCTTACTTTGCTATGAAAGTTTGAACGCAAGGTGCACAAAAAGCTGTCCATTCCGTATACAGCATGCGGATATGCTGTAACCTCAAAACCTCTAAGTGCTGCTGCAATTTCAAGCCCTCTACACTCTTTCCAACCTTCCAAAAGCCCGAGCATGCGGAAGTGAATCGGCATTGCCGATGTGCTCACAAGTCCAGGGGTGCTTTTCGGAGTGGCTGGAAACCCTAAACAGCTACCCACCTCACACCCTCACGTAGCTAGAATTACAACATCTTCAAACTCTCTGCCCTCCTAAACCTTGAATGTCGCAACCAGCAACTCTGGCTGCCATGACAATGAAGGGGAGAAGGGTGGAAGGTGATGGGTGGCGCCAGATGGCCGGAAGGGACGAGTGGGTAGAGGGAACCCTTGGTGAGCACAGGCTGCTTGTGAACGACGCCCATTCGTCCAGCCCCAAACCCCTAAACACCCCTTGTGTGCGGACACCGTTGCTTGGGGAGCGCAGGGCTCTTCGTCCGCGAATCCGATTGATGGGTTGTTGCGGTGGTAAGTTTTGTCCGTCGGAGTTTGGGACCGCCGCTCCAGGAATGGCTCAAGCTCATCGGGCCGAAGTATCGAAGAGGGGCCCTAAAGCTGAGAAGTTGCAAGGGCCTGGTCTAAGGGTAATGGGGTTCCTTATTGCAAAAAAAAAGTACAATGAATTTCCAAACCCTAGCTAAACCCTATTAAAAATAACTTAGGCCCATCACGCGCCGACCGAGTTGACACTGCCTTCGTGCCGAGGCTTAAACGTTATTTAACCTGCCTTCGTACCGAATGCCTTAAAGCCCCTCTCTGCCTGTGGACAGTTAGAATGGAGGCTGAAGCTTTGATTGTGAGACTCGGCAGCAATGTGGCTCATTCTGGGACTGTGCGCGTGAGCGGAGACGAGCTAGCGGTTCGGATGCAGCTCGCTGGGAGCATCAGCAGGACACATCGGAAGTCAAACAAGCTTTATGCACAATGGCGACCATGATCCTGAAATCTGGTACCAACTCCAGCCCTCAGCATCTGCCACTGAAAGCTGTGATTATGCTTTAGGGCTTACCTCGCTGCGGGATTGGGGTTGGAAGTTTAGAACAGCTGCATCACGCCGGCATTTCCAGCAATTGTTGATTTTGACCCAGGGTGACCAGCTGTCTACGCCGAAAAGCTTTACTTGAGGAATCAGGTAGAGAGATTGGGGATCCGAAGACCCTAAACCCTAAACCCTAAACCCTAAACCCTAAACCCAACTTGAGAGCATGCTGTCCGCCCGCTCTCTCTGAGGAAGCTGCCGACAGACTTCGCAGGATGGGCCATCAGTTTCCGGGGCGAGGACCTTCCCTCATAGGGTTTAGGGTTTAGGGTTTAGGGTTTAGGGTTTAGGGTTTAGGGTTTAGGCTTCGAAAAGAGCACTTCGGGGTCCTTCTGTTGGGGGTCCTTCTAAACCCTAAACCTTAAACACCCCTAAGCCCTATCAGCCCTATAAACCCTAGACTCCCAGTCTGAACCTTATAAACCTTTTATAGGTAGTTCTCGAAATTAGGGTCCCTGTTGAGGTCCCCAACATAGTACGGCACCCTTATAAAAAGGGCCGCAAAATTTGGAGAACTACCCATTTTGAAGCCCCTAAACCCTAAACCCTAAACCCCTAAACGGGTCAGCTCCCCTCCAGGAGCTCCGAAGAGAGAAGGGCGAAGCGGGCCCGCATGGCGGCCGCGGCCAGGCCAGGGAAATACATGGCTTTATTAATTATCGGATTTGGGTATGGGGTTTTAGGGTTTTGTCTTTCAGGGCTTTAGGGTTTGGGATTTTAGGGTGTTTTGGGTACGAGGGTGGTTGAAGATGGGCTTTAGTCATTATCGGGTTTTGGGTTTCGGGTTTAGGGCTATAGGATTTTTAAGGCTTGGGATTGTTGGTTGAATATGCGTTTGCGTTTAGGATTTTGGGCTTTAGGGTTTTAGGATTTGGGATTGTAGGGCGTAGGTTTTAGCTTCAGAGTACTATTGGGAGGGTCTGATACTGGTTGACTGATCAGTTTAACATACCCCGAGCACCATAGTCCAATCCTTCTGGCCCCTATAATTGACAGCTAACAGACCCCACGCGTGTATACGCAATGGTTTGAGTTTTAAGCCCTTCTGCTTTTCAGCAACAGACATGCAAGAATCCCACATATGGATATGTGCCACTGCTACAATTACAACGCAACACCATCAGGATACCCGCTTAGCATCGGGGACATCCGGAGCTTCCCAGCCTCGTCAGTGACCCTTCCCTCAATAATTGAAAAGCACTTAGGATTTAGAGTGTTTAGTTCATTCCAGTGAGCCCCGATCCCCATGGCTCTTGAGCTCTTGGACACCAGCACACTGCGGCTTTGCCTCCCATCTGATCTCGGCATGAAAGATTGCAATGCCAAGCACTTGCAGCGGCGCTGCTGAACAGCGAAGTTATCCCGTTTACCAAAATCGAGGGAGAGCCTTTTCCCGAAAGCAGTACTCCAATCCCTGAAATCCCTAAACTGCAAAGCCTCAACCCACATTGTCCTTCTCTCCAAGGGGATCCAACTGCATGCAGCCACCGCTGCAGCAAAGTTCCGAATGGATGGCCCAAAGGACTACAGGGACGCAGATTCAGCTGTGTGCGTGTTGGGGGTTTTTGCGGGTGGCTAGCGAATGTCTGATGTGTGCATGTGGCTCGTGCTATGCATCGTGTAAAGATCAGCTTGACATTTCGGTCTCCACGAGGAGGCGATTCGTAAGAATGCCATGAACCCGGCCCCAGGGTCAATTCGCAGGTCAGAGCTTCTCGCAGCACAGACTCGGCGTAAACCAAGCAACAACTATGCACCTGAATTCCTGATGAAGAACTACTATGCGAGGCTGTCTTGGCATGCTAGGTGGCCAGTTGCTAACAACGCCACTTGAAGACTGGCGTCTTGTTCCAAATTCTTGCAAGACAGGTACAGGGACGCGATGCCATTTCCTACACCAGAGGTGATACTTTCAAAAAGAGTTGGTTAGCTGTATAGAAATATGCATGACTGACTCGTGTGGTTGCACGGGGTTCCACGTTACTGTGGTTGAGGATTCGGCAGCTTTGGTGAGGCGAGGAAGCACGGACACGGACAGTTGCCTAAACTTGCCCATTCTTCGGTGTTTAGAGTTTTCATGCATATTGCAATGTCCCGGTGCCTGGAACATCGAAAAACATGTGGAGTGTTTGTTTTCAGGTTAGGCTGGCTACATCGACTGCCCCAAACTGCGCAAGCCGCATGGTCACAGGGAGTCATAAGGGCTCCTAGGCTGATCGGTTAAACAGAAGACATAAGCAATTGTATCTTTAATTACTTCATAAAGCACAAAAGCGGTGTGTTTGCTACTTTCCATTTACTAGAAGCCCACTCTGCCTGCTTCCTGCTGTTCTCCCACTCGCAAAACACTCGCAAACAACCATTCCAAACAGGAAAGGTTTCATTCCACATAGTACTCATTCCTTGTATACCGCCTATCATTGCTAGGTCAAGAGTTTGTCCTTTTCTGCTGCACAACATTTCCTGTGGGGAACAGGAGGGTTGGCTTCAGCTCATTTCCGAGCTCCAGTTCCTAGCAGGACAATATGGCCATCCGCAAGCATGGCGACGAAGACCTTGCCATGGAGGTGCCGTCTTGCATGCCGTCAATGCTCAAATTGCAAACCTCGAGTACGCCCAAGACTCAACCCCAAACCAGACTCGGCGGAGCCGCATCCTACAACTACTTTTTGCTCTATAGACTGGACCTGCAGGTTGCACATCGAAAGATGGTCCCCAACAGCGACGTTACCCTTTGGTGCCCCTGGGCTCTGCTGATGTTAAAGTTACGCTGTACTGCGTGCGTTGTCCACGGTGAGGTTGGTTATTGTCAGAGATGCAGAGTTAGAACTTAGAACTGTGTGGATTCACATGGATTCACCCTGGCAGGTGCGTAGGGTTGCATGAGCCCCACAGAGAGTGGGCCTGCCGGTTCTGCATGAACGACGACGGCACGTGCCTTGGAGGACTTGGTTCGGGGTCCGGGCCTGGTTTTGCCAGCAGGGGTCGTAGATTGACACTGCGGGAGTTTGTCAAGAAGAGGAAGCAGTGCTTCGGGCTTGTTCATTGGTTAGTGCCGGTCAGTCCTCACTTTTTGTAAACGACTTGCCAGTTGCGGTACCTACGCGGACTTCATGACAGCGGCATATCTAGACTTTGAGTTCAAGCTAAAAACTGCGTTTTGCAGAATTACTCGGGCTTGGAACCCGGAGTTTACATCGTAGTTTCCATGTGCCCAGCCCAGGATCTCTCCTTGTGACAAGGGCAATCCCTGCAAGGATGTGGTCATTGGCGTGCATTTAGGACCGCGCGTCAGCCAGAGAGGGGTCAGAACTTCGCAGGAGTGCGTAGAGTATTCAGAAATCGGTGTGTTGATGAGGAAGGCCTCCTCAATTCTATGGGACCTATATACGGGCCGACAGAGAGGATGTTCTTCCGTTCTCGTTTATCTTCGCTCGTTTCGGCCCTTCACTACCTCAGCCTGTTGTCAGGAGAGGGCTGGAAGCTCCTTGGCAGGAGACATTACCCGGCTCGATGTTGATCACGCGCCACACGGGAGCCATAAAAAGCCACCAAGAAGCTTCATGAAGGATCTCCGACTCACGTACAGTTGCTGATGCCTCTAGCAAGTCCGCCAAAACAGTTTGCGAACCTTGGATGAGTTTTCTACACTCAGGAACAATTCACTTTCAAAAGCGGTTGGCTGAGGCGCACGGGCCTGGTGCTGGTCCACCGCGAGGATACACTGAGAGCTGCCAACCCTTCCTCCCAGGTAAATCCACCCCCCTTTCAGTCAATCAGTCTGGAGGTCGCCCAGTGACGCGACGTGCCGTCTCTGTCCCCTGTTCTACCAAGCTCGCTTGTGGGCATGGATCCCTATCTACTCGCCTCAAGCTTTTGCCTCGGTTCCTGTCACCGGGAGCCAATCTCCGTTGAACTAGAAGTGCAGGCCCCTAAACATCAATCGCCTCAGCCCGATGTGCTACCTGGATGACGAGGACACAAAGCGCCGTTTGGTTTTCTTGCAAGGCTCTGAGCCGCTGAGTCGCACGAAGAAGCAGATGTGTTGTTCCTGTCGGGCACTTTGAGGTTTTGTACTTCAGCACACAGCAGCGCCATGGGGTAAAGAGTCTCGACTCAGGGTGTGAAGCGATTCTTTGCTAGGACAGGCTCTGACATCGTGCCCTGCGAGCTAGGCCGACCAGATCCCTAAGTCCTTAAACCCTATATTGTTCTCCCTTATAAACCCTAAAACGTCAGGAACTGTCCTGGAGCCGCCTTAGAACCTAAAAAAGAAAATTAAAAAGAAAACCAAAACCCATTAGAGTCATTACAGGGCTGCTCCCTGTTCGCTCGGAGCTTCGGCTGTCTCAGCGCCAAGGCTGCAGTCACGCGTTGCTGACCTCGATGAGGCCCGATTGTTGGTATGGCTAGCACTGTTATTATTATGATGGTTGTTACTACTACGACTACGACTACGACTACGACTACGACTAAGACGACGACGACTACTACTACTACAACTACTACTGTTAACTATTATAAATTAGTGTTGTTATTACAACTATCTTAGTTGGTCGTGTTTATGTTGTGAGCCCCGCATGGTTTCAACTGACAACAAGCCGGAGGCCGCTATGCGGGTGGATGCCACCAAGGACGGTTGCTGCGTAAATTTGGAGAGAAAGGCTTGAGGTCAGAGCGCGATAGCGCGCAAGTTCCTTAAAGGCACCCTATCATAGTACCCTTATAGGTACCATTAAAGAAACCCTATGTGCGTCGTGAAAGGGTTGTCCCATTCAGGAGAGTCCTTTGTTCAAGGGATGCTTTACTGTACTACCCTAATTAGTGCATGCAACATAAGTGAAGACTCGAGAGCGGACGCAACCAACTTGTTCCACGCTCGGCAAACACACAACCACACACACACACACACACCCATATTATGATGCACCGATGGTTTACCTCGAAAAGCAAGTCTGTCACGTCTGATAGCCGCGTTCCACTCCGACTACTAAGCGACTACTGTGCGAGAGCAGCCTGATGGATTATGGATGCATTCGCCCAGTTGCGACCCTACCACCACTGTAGGAAATCAATGCAGGAGCACAGGCTCATCATCACCGCGCCGAACCTCTCCTGGATGGGCCCAGGCGCTTCGGCCGAAACAGGGATGTGCCCCGTTCTCACCGCAAAACGGGAGAGAGGGCTCCAGCTCAAGCCCTGCAAGTCGAAGCTACTGAGGACCGCTGGGTCTGTGTATTCAGGGCAGCATGATCACCGTCGGAAACGGCCGCATCTTCAACCTGAAAGTCGGCAAGGCCCCATCTTTCCGGCCGGGTTTTGTGGTCTGGGCATGGCTGGACTCTTCCGCGCTTTCAGGAAAATCCCCTGTTCGGTCTGCATGCATCCATGAGTTGACCGAGCGCATCTGAACGAAAAGCTGCAAGGGAGAAACAAAGCACGAAGAAGGTGACCACCGCAAGAGCGCCAACAGAACGACATAAGAAGCGAGACGGGGAGGAAGCAACTGCGAAAGAAACAGCGAGAGACAAAGCCGAGCCAACACGGAGCATGCAACATCACGTGAATAGTATGCAAGAGACAGGCGGTAGATGATAAACGAGAACGCTACGCCGCGACGAACAGAAGACACACATCAGAAGGCGACAGACCGAAAGATGTGAGTCTCCAAGATTCTTGCACCCATGGAAGAGGCCGCCGATGCTGCAGTGTTTGCTTTCGACGGCTTGGAGACCGAGTGCATGGCGGTGCGCTTGCATGCTGCTTGTGCGCAACGTACATTGGTTCAGCTCTGTCGGGATGCGTTAAAACTGCATCTGCTTGAGCGGTGGCAGGTCGTGCAAGGAGAAGTGGTCTAGCAGAAACGGAGTGCCCTTGGCTAGATGCAGTAACAGTAGCAGTACAACTGGCCATCCTTCCATGATTGAGTCTGGGTCCCTTTGCTGCTACATGCTGCTACCTAAGCCCTAAACCCTAAACCCTAAACCCTAAATAAACCCTAAACCCTACCCTAAACCCTCAATAAACCCTAAACCCTAAACCCTATATGCTCCATGATAGAGTCTGGGTCCCTTTGCTGCTTGCCCGAGGAAGACCGGGAGTTCGGAGTCGACGTTTCGCACCGAAAGATGGAGCCAGGCCTTCCCCGCTCTCCTTGGGAGTTGCAAGCGCGAAGGGCGAATTCTCTGATGAAGGTTTAGGGTTTAGGGTTTAGGGTTTGGGGTTTAGGGGTTAGGGTTTAGGGTATCAGGCAGGTAGGTCCCTAGTTTCTTCACAGCCGACCTGGAGCTTACACCGTGAGTCCTTCAATCATCACACATAGAAGCCGGAGGCTCGGCCGTGCTGCTGTGGGACTGCGACAGGACTCCGGGAATTGCGGGGAAAATCAGTAGCCAGTAGCGCGACATGGGTGTTCAGTGGTGTCGAGACCTTTGAACCCCGAGTTTTGAGCAGGCTTTAGGCCGCGCGGTCAGAGGGTTTGTGGGAGCCGCGAGGGGCACAAGGGCAGCTGAGTGGCTGAGTGTTTGATACTCGGGTAGATTCTGTCGAAGCAGTGGTGTTTGATGAGGTAGCAGTTGTAGTCTTCGGCTCTCCGTGAGTCTGCCCCGAAATCCGGAAGTTGAAGACGAAGATATGATTAATGTACAGGATCAGAGCAATCACACAACTTTCTTCAATAATTTCAATGGTCATGACATATATCGATATTGTAAAACACGTGTATATATACATATGTGTATATGTATATATATATATATATGTATGTATGTATGTATGTATGTATGTATGTACATTCTGGACACGTAGTTATACACACATGAACATACACCAACAAGATGCGTATTGTTTCTCGAGCCTCTCCAAGTGTTCGCATTCTCCAGCCCCTCCTGTCCCTCTTCCCGCGTCCCTCTCCCTCAAAATCCTTGCCCCGACAAGAGCAGACATAGCAACGAAGTAACTAATTACCGAAGATATCTCGAAGCTTGTCCAAGGATCCCCTTCTTGTTCCGCCCCTCCCAAGCATCTATTTTCAAGAGAATCGGTAAGGCCAAAAGCGCACATCGCAGTTATGTTTCTCGAGGCCTTTCCAAATGTTCATGTGATGGGTTGGCTGCTTCTTTGTATCAAATTTTGCTTCGCTCGTCTTTTCGTCACCCTGCCCTGAACCACTGGTGGCCAAGGCTGCTAAGCAGTTTCTCTTGGTTAGCTCCACAGAACTCACTTCAGACCCAGGAAGATTCTCGCGGTCCAGTTCGCTTTTGGTACAGATCGATCTCTGTGCCCATTTGGCTTTGCTGGGGTGGCAATTGGCATCAAGCAGAACACTGACAGGTTGGAGTTAGCTTCCCGCACAGACTTCAGCGGTGTTTGTTTCTATCAGCTTCTAGTCGTCATGCCAACGGCTGCTCGTGGCCTTTTGCTCAGGTTCGGTCAGATGACCCCATGCGCCTCAGATTTCAGACGCCGGAGGCCTATTCAGACCTACAATCTGCTGTCTTCTTCATCTTGGCCTGAGATTGCCTCAAAGCGTGAGCATCCGCTGTCTCGCTGCCGAGCCCCAAAAAAGTTACATTGAGTTCCGATAAACAAATCCGAAAAACCCTAAATCTAAAACAACCTAAGCCCTAAATCTTTATACAGACCCTAAACCTAAGCCCTAAATCCTTGAACCCTAAAGCCCGAAAGGCCTAAACCCTGACAGCCTGGCTTCGTTTCATACAGGAGGAGGAAGCTACGGCGGCACTGCTGCGCGAGGAAGCGGCGGCGGCGAAGGCTGCTTTAGCAGCGCTGGAGGCACCGACAACGCAAAAGCGACATGGGAAGAGCTAGTATAAGGGGTATTATCATCAGGGTTTGAGGTTGAGGTAGTCTAAGCGATACTACAATAGGAGTGCAAAGAAGAGTTCGTATAAGGGTACCTGCAAGGCTTCTATAGAGGGTTCTGCATCAGTTACTTTGGGGCGCAGGGTTTTTGGTACCGGCGTCGCTCAATCGAAAGCCCAATGTGCCTGCACAGAAATACGTAGATGCCATTTACTAGTGTTATTCCTGTAGAGTTCCTTATCATACCCCGAGGCCCAAGTTTGTCGTGAGAGTACCGTACCAAATCAAAAGAAAGGCGTTGAGGGCTTCTTCACATGAAGAGAGCACCACAAGTACCAGTAGCTTTTTGCTTCGGCATCGCCTTGACAAGTTATAAAAACCCTAAGCTCCAAATCCCTAAACTCGAGATCGTTGAAAAGTCTCGATGTGTAGACCTTCTACCTTTTGTCTGCAAAACTTCTGAAGCCACGACGTGGGAGTTTCAAACGACAGGGGGCCCCAAAACTTGAACCCCAAATTATCATGGGATCCTTACTGTAAGGACCGCCAAATCAGGTCAGGTCCCCCCAATTCTCTGGTACCCCCAACGCTGCGTTCGTGGGAAGTTGTTGACTCAGCTGCTGGGGCCTTTGGGCTTTGAGCCTTTAGGGTTTTCAGGGCTTAGGGGAGTCGGGGATTTAGATCCTATGATGGTAATATAGAGGCCCTCATAATTAGAATAGGGTTTGGGGTATATTATACTATAAGTATAATAAGGAAGCCCCAAACTAATTATTATGGCCGCTACATTAATATAATTGTTGGCTGTGGCGCAGGACGCTGCACTTGCTCGCTGCAATGCGGATATGTTCGAGCGACTGCGTGCCTTCATCGCAAATGTATTAAGCCGCAACGTTCAGGGTCAGCTCGGATGTTTGCAGGAGAACAAGTCCACGCCTGTAAGCAGCAAAGATGGGGCCCTAAACCCTAAACCCTAAACCCAAGTGGTTTCTACTTGGACTAGAGTGTGGCCCAGGGTGCTTTTCAGAGGCCTTGATGGCTTCGTGCACATCCCCAACGTTGTGCCACGCGAACTTGTCCTTGCTGCCAGGACCGTGCCTTATTTTGTCGTCTTCGGGTTGGACTGAAGCGGAGATATAGTGATGCCAGTTTCAAGTTAGGCTCTTGCTGTAGCTTTTCCTGGCGCCTCAAGTTGATGATTGCTCGTCTTTCCACCGCTCGCGGCTGTGCTGAGCAGAGAGTGCGTCTTTCCTCCGTTCAAACTTTTCGTCACGGAGACGACACAAAAACTGCGTGTGAACTCCGCAGTTGTTGCAGTCCCGGCCTTCCCTGGTTTAGGGTTTAGGGTTTTGAGGGTTAGGGTTCAGGGATTAGGGTTTAGTTCCAACCTGCGAGGAAGGAAATCAACCGGCAGCTGGGAACGGCGACGGGTGGGACTGATCAGTTCAAGGCGAGGCCTCGGTGTGAGAGCCACATCAGAGTCGATGGTGTACCGTATTTATGCTGTATTTATATGTATTGGTATTATACTTCCATATTAGAATTGCGCTATATGTGACTAAATATAAATATAAATATACATACATATATATATATATATAAACATATATATATATATAATTGTGTGAAATCATTTGCTGCATCTCTTGCGTTCCGTATGTCAAATATAAATATACATATATATATATATATATAATTGTGTGAAATCATTTGCTGCATCTCTTGCGTTCCGTATGTCAAGTGACTGAAGCTGGCACCGCTCCAGGCAAAGACCTTCCCCAGGAGGCCCGAGACGCGTGGCTATGGAAGAGCACAGGCTCTGGTTCACCGCAGCTTCATGCATTCTGCGTAGATGTCCCTGAACCCTAAACCCTAAACCCTAAACCCTGGGAGTGGGTAGATTTCCGAGTCCTGCAGAGCTGCCCCTGCCGACTCTCCACGTATGCTGCTGCAGCCAACGTCTAACATCCATGTGGGAGTTTCCGAAAAATACGGTACCTTGTTTTGGGGTCCTTATACTAAGGATCCTACTACATAGAGTCCTATATTAGGGTCCCCTATTTTTCGCAAAAACCCCGATGTACTTCCTCGTTTGCGCTGCATAGCTCCGCAGCCTTCGCGGAACGCTAGCGGGAGCCTTTTTGACTGGATTTCGAAGCTTTTCGCAGCAATTAGGAAGGCCTGGTTACCCTAATCCCTAAGCCCTGAACCCTAAACCCTAAACCCTAAACTTCGAACGAGGGGATTCTCGAAGGGTCAGGCATATTGTACATGACCTCCTTTCGAGTTTGAAGCTGTGAGATGCGTTTTGGATCTTTTTGTCTAGGGCAGAGGCTCTTGAACACGCAGGGTGGCAGGACTGAAGATGCCAAAAGCAGAGTTGGGACAACGACTCCGGAACGAACTGCTTGAGGTCGTTCAATATTGGCACATCTGCCAAGAACCTGTGGTTGCAGATTTTTGTTAACTAGGCATCTGAAGCGGCTTCCGGTAGTCGAGCTGAGGCTAAACCCTACACTCCCAAACCCTACACCTGGATTGTCCGAGTGTGAGTGCCGAAACCCTACACCCTCGACCCTAAACCCAAGGATCACAAACCTCGTGAACTCCTCCGGCCTTCCGATCATCCTTCGGCGGCTGCTAGGCAGGGGGCCGCAGAAGTTGGGTTCTGGAATGTCAGGATTCCTTGTTTAACAATAAATGGGACCTTATTTTGGGATCCTTATACTGAGGATCCTAATATTTCGGGTGCTTTTTTGGAAACCCCCCAAATACAGGGGCCTTACTTATTTTGATTAAGGTTGTTTGTGTTTATCTTGGTTTGGCACAGATAAGCAGGCACTGCTGTAAGGGGATAGCATTGCTAATTCTTCAGACCTCTACCCATCCTGTTGCAAAACAGCGCCTCCAAGCTGCGCAAAGGAAGGCAGATCATAATTACACAAAAATGTATATTTACACACACACACACATATATATATATATATATCTTCTCGCGCAATGTATGTGTACATTTAAAATAACAATAACGGTTATTGCTAGCAATATTATCAGAGCAACATCAACAGCAACTGTTATTGAACTAAGTCCAAAGCCACCTCGTTACACATCTTTTTAGCCTCGGAGCCAACCTGACCGTTCTCATAAACATTTGACAACATTCAATTAACAGGCTGAATGCTTCTCCCGAAGTTTGAGGACTTTTTGGACAATGCACATACCTGCCCACCATCCTTTCAAATTTTGGGGGTTCCTTCTTCTGATGATACTATTAGGGTCCCCAAAACCCTAAACCCTAAACCCTAAACCCTAAAACCTAAACCCACCCTATTCTAATTACTGAGGCCCCTACACATGACCTGCAGGCCCGCGCGACAGCGGTCCATACCGAGTGGAGTCCGGCCAAATTGCGTTGCGTTTCCCTGGCGACGCTCAGCTTTGCTCCCTGGGACCCTAATATACCTACTATATACCCTATCTATATATGTATATATAGATAGATATATACCCTTAAGGGACCCTAAACCCTAAACCATACAGTCCCGGTTGCGGGTTAGGATGATAGGGTGTATAGGGAGTGTAGGGTCTGATGAGGGTGGGTGGGTTTTGCTCTGTTGGGGTGTTGTTGCCCAGCTGCATCACGCACGCGGCAGTTCCGGGGTGTGCACCGATTTGGCTTCAGGTGCTGCAGTCATGGAAAGGGATTTCCGTTGGCTTTTCATTTGTTCTCCAGTGTGCCCTGCTGTTGCAGGACATGTGCATCAAGGACAGCGTGGACAGCGATTTTCAAAACTTCGAGCGCATCCGTCAAGGTTGGCATATAGATGGAAGCTCGTCCCAAAGTTCAGCGGTCAAGATGGCAGACAGGGTGCAGATTTCGAGCAGCCCGTGTTTCTCGAGGATTCAGGATTTGTCAATCTCTGATCTGCTAGCCTGAATGGCTTGATGTCAACATGGGGGTTTCCGAAAATCGGGGACCCTAATATAGTACCCTAAATAATAGGATCCTTATTATAAGGACCCCCAAATAAGGTACCCCCTATTTTCTGAAAGTCCCACATGGATTTCAGGAACGCCTTCGAGCTTCATCCCCGGTGTGACGGACCACTGGGGAAAGATCACCAATTTCGATGCGTTGGTGGGCGTGTTGCTCAGTGACACTGACGCGAACATGAGCGGTGAGCTCTGCTGCCGCTGAGCAGTTTGAGAGCATAGCCGTTTGTCCGTTCGTTTTGGGGCGCCCAAACCTAAAGCCCTAAACTCTACTTCCATCGGTTCCTCCTTAAACCCCAAACCCTAAACCTGACGCCCTAAATTCCCCTTCTCCTCCGGCTTTCTGGAAGACGTCCACGATGACTTTCTGAGGCTACCCTGGCTCCCACATGGACTTAGCCGGCTATTTCAAGCAGAACGGTGTGGACGACGTGGCAAACAAAGGCCGTTCAGTCTGGTACAGAGACTGTATCATTGCCTTTATAGGTGTTCGAGCGATTTCTAATTATACAGAAAACCCGAAACCCTATCCAGCCCGCCGCCTTTATTAGCATGGTCCTGCCAGCATCTTGCACATGCTTGGCTTGCTTGCAGGTGCTGCGGGACTCCCCACGGGACAGAAAACAGACAGCGCAACTTGTCCCTAAGGTCTGATAGATGCATGATTTCATGGAAAGAGTAAGGTTTGCGCAATGTACCGGAGTGATTTTTCGATCCACAAGTGCATCTTGAAGACTTCTTCCTGTACTGCCAAACTTATCCACTGCTGGACACGTCAGCGGCACGTGAGTGCGACTGAGAAATGCAGGAACTTGTTGACCGGGATTGCGACGATATTGCAAAGTAGCTTTGGCTGGGTGAAGACGAGAACAGAACAGCTGCACCACAGCAAATAGCATGCACGGAGATCAGCTGCCTTTGGTGGATTCAAGAAGCTGTTGCAAGAGGCACGCAGGCAGCCAAGTCCTGTTCAGGTGTTGCGGAAGCCGCCGATCCACTGCAACGGGAAAGCCGGCGATGCACCTTGACTCTCCCGTATACGGAAGCAGCTTCAGCACCGGTTGCTCGTACAATGCACCCAGGTCTACTGCCGAAGTGTCTAGCAGTGCTCTTCCTGCACACAACACCGACAGTGCAGCTCTTTGAAGGTCTTCCTGGCCAACTACATGGTGGCGCATTTTATTGCCCCAAATACGTCCCAAGACATCCGCTACGCTGTGTACTTCCGTATCCGCGGGCCCTCCTTCGATCTGGATCCTTTCAACAAGGACTGGCAGAAAGCAGCCATACACTGGGTACGAGATCATTCATCTCCTGCCAGGCTTCTCTGACAGGGCTTCGAGGGAGGGCTTTCAAGTTTGGTACGTCTAGAGTCGATGATGCACGCATCTGTTGGCTTTGCGTGCTACTCACGGAGGAGAGCATGCTGGATCCGCTGATGAACTGGAGTCTGGATGGGCCGGAGCCGCCAAAGAAGGCGTTTGCGAAGCCTTCGTTGACGCTTAGCGAAGCATTATACAGGTTCTAGTAGCTTCACCGAGCGATCAGGGAAGGGTAGAGCCTAGTTTTGAGAATGGGTTCAGCAGGGGCGAGGTTGCCAAGCGCTTGGCTCACTCACGTGCAGATTGGGAGTGATTTTCGGAGCTTGGAGCAAGTTTACCCTCAAAGCTGCAAAGCGGTTCAGGAGACGTGCTGCCACCATCGAAGATGCTGAGCTCATGAACGAGGCCGGGTGGCGAAGTCCTGCGCCAACGAGATTCCTGAGTCTGCTATATTTCACAGTCTCCGAGGCCTTGGACTACTATTCCGCAGCGAATAACGACCACACCGTGCCCACATGATGTGACCGGTCCTTGAGACGGAGCAGCAGCTGAGCAACACGAAGGAGCTCTTCGTGCGAACGATGAGAAAAGGAAAGTACTTGTGCACCCGTCGAGAATGCCTGCCAAGTAGCGTTCCGAGGATTGACGCGATTGGGGGAAAAGGGTGGAAGCCTAGCTAGCTCGATGCAAACGATGCTTTTCAGATAACTTCTGGCAGAAATGACGATTTGTAGCTTTCCGTCAGTGGAGCTGCAGAGGCGCTTCAAGCTTTGTGCTCATGAGTCAGATTGATCTGTTTATTCTTATGAGTTCATTTCGTGCATCGCACATCTCCGGCTTGGCTCGAGCAGTGCATCCAGTCCGCAGAATTACACAGTATCCCGTATCCCGAGAAACGTGCTAAGGCACACAGACGAATGCAGCGACTGAAGTTAAGGGATCTGCAGAGCCCCAAAACGCTTATCAAGTTCCACAGCATTTCGCATCAAACCAACTACTACCTGCTGCTAAGCGCAATCAGACTATGAACCTACGTAGGGACAGAGATGTTCCCGCAGCAAATCCCTATTACACATTCTTGCGCGCGGTCGGCTTCTACAATGATCTCTTGCGTTGAAATAGCCCGGGCCTCGGATGGAACTTGGCTGCAGTGTACATCGGCTACAATAGGTATAGGGGCCTTCATCATTAGAACACGGTTTCGGTGAATATGGTACTATGATTCTAAGAATCAAGGAACCGTAAGGAAAATCTATTGCATCGTGCTGTAACCCACTGAGAAGGAGACCTCGGTATCCGTGCTCTCGGAGTTATGAAGCTACCCATGCCTAGTCTCGACGATGCAGCGCTGTCCTGCAATATCCTGTCATAGCTTAATTTGGCTGCAGCAACCACTCAGCAGGCTTTCCGTGGCATTCTGTGCGCTTTGAGGGTTGTCTTACTTTTTGCAGGAAGTCGGCTTGGTTGTGATTTGCCGGCCTTGTCTCGAGTTCGACTGAAACCCTACACCCTCAGACCGTCAAGCCCGCAGGACTGCTTTAGGGTTTGTACACCCGAACAGGTCAGGAAGCTTTTCGATGCGGATCACAAGGCCTGTGAGCCGTGAAGCTTAAGGAAGTGTAGGAAGCATTGCACTTGGCGCAGCCGGGCAGCTTCAGCCTAAACCCTAAGCCCTAAACCCCAAGCCCTAAACCCCCGAAACAGGTTTGCGAGCCATGTTCCTGTTCCTCCAGACACCCCTACACCCCGAAAATGTAAACAGCTGGGTCATGCTGGGCCGGTGATTCCATCGGCTCTGAAGCACTCAGACGTCCGAGCACCGACACCCAACAAACTCCACAAAGAACCCTCAAAAAAACACACTCAACGAGTGGAGGAGGTTTTTCACCGCGATCGGTTGAAGCGCCTCAAGTCGCAACGTGGATGTCCAAGGAGGCGTAACGCGCATGTTTCGCAGAGTTTCAGGGCTTTGGGGGTCAGGCTTGACCGAAGGATTGGAATTGGCATGAGGTTAGCATAGGTTTGAGGTTCATGGAAGGTTCGTAACTCGATGTTTACGAATGCAGCCAGGCAGCCGTGGTGGAGCACAAGCCAGGGCTCGAGGTAAACAGGTTCCAGCCCAGAGAGCCCAATACCCGTTCATTTGGGAATATACCTTACACCATAGAGGGATTCCTAGTATGATCTAAAGCATATTCTTCAGTTAAGGGGTGTGAAGAACCTGCCAGGTCCTTTGTACAGCGAGAGCAGTTGTCAGCTGCTCACTTTCTTCTTGCACCTGCCGCTTTGCTCAAGGGAGGGATTCACGAGCCAAATCGCAGCGCTCATGGAAAACAGCTGCCTTTGACGTTTGCCGACTTCGTGTGCTGCAGATAGACAAGAGGGATTGGAACCGACTCT